CTAAAGTCTTTTGAAGTAGCATCCTACTATAAAATTAACCAAGGCCTGACCATAAATTGTGAGAGAAGCAACTTAATGAGAGAGAAGTCCTCACCACACAGAGTCGCCCCACTCTGGTGTAAACTGTGTGAGCGTTGTTTTCTGCTTCCAGGGCCTTCTCAGTAAAAAAGAAATACACTTTGTTGTCATCTCGGTCTTCATTGTCAGGAATCATATATGAACCTACAAATTTTGGTTCTGTAGAAGTAAAAAATAGAAGAAAGAGTGACAGAGATACTATAACAAATGATAGCAAGATATTCTAATAAATTATGTATCATCTGAATGCTTAAGTTTAACTCTCATCATTTCATGAAGAAAACATTTTCCTAGAAATTTTTTACCAATCAAATCCATGTAGATATCTCCATTTTATTTGCAAATCAACAGATGTTTTAGAAACATTAAAGGAATATTTAATTGGAAAATAAAATAATCATTGAAAGGACAATTTTGAACAACATACATTGCAAACTTAAAATGCATTCAATGAAGGACAAATTGGAGGAACCATGAAGATAATCTCCACAAATTTCCACCTATTATACATAAAAAGTGAATGTAAACATAAGTAAAATATTAAAGTAGAAAGTATATCATTACTTTTATTTAGTTTTTAAATTATCTACCAGTTTAGCACATGGAAGATCACTTTAGCTTCAAAATAGAAAATCTTAAGTTTTTGAATTTGTAGTCTAAGGGATTTGAATCAGTGACTTTTGATTGATATGGTATGTAAAATATTTTCATGATAACGTGCTACCAATGACTATGCATTTTAAAGCTTAGTAAAAATGTGGAAAGTGATGAAAATGTTCACCAAAAGTTTTAGTCCCTAGATTTACCACTGTGCCAAAAAGTACAGTACAAAGAATTCCGTATCGGTGACTGGCTAGTGACTTTCCCAGTGTTTTATTTGTCTCTAAAGTGCAATGTGTGATCCTATTAAAACGAAGCAAGCAATTCATCAGAAATTATACCAATTGATAAGAATAGACAAAACATCTTATTGGATGATAGGTTTTTCACTTTTCATACATTTGCTTTGTTTTCTTCATATAAATCTTGATTTCTAAGCATTGCTATAAAGGTAAATTGGTTTTATAACCAAGCCAGCTCATATTGATAGAAAACGATATACACATATCATGTATAATACTTTAATTCAAGAATATTGCTAATAAAACATCCTGAAATTTATAAACATTATAAACTATATTGTTATTCTCAAAATGGTGAAATTTCCCAAAAGTTCTAGTTGATTTCAATCCTGATTCACATACCATTTCCCCTTCAACCTTACCTTTCAACAGGCGTTCATCGTCATGCTCAGTGCGAATGTGGGCCAGTCGCCCCAGGCTCCTGAAGATTGCAGCATCTCTGCCCCAGTAGTCACTGTAGAGCCCAGCAAACAATTCACTACCTACATGGAAGCATCAATTCAAAATAAGTCAGTATTTTTTTCTAGATCTGAAGAAAAGGTATAAGCCACAATTACAGTAAACATCCAGTTCTATTACGTATACATATAACATGTACTTTATGACATTAGCACTGTTGTTGTCAAGGGCATAGGCGGTGCAGTCAGACTGCCAGGGTTTGAATCTGGACTCTGTCACTTACTAGCTGGGCAAGTTACTAACCTTCCTGTGCCTCACTTTCCCCATTTACAAATGAGAGAAGGAATAGCACTCAATAGGATAGTTAAGTGCAAAGTGCTTGGAAGAGTAGATAGAGAATAGTAAGAGCTATATGTGTTTTTGATAAATGCCTAATTTCATCTTATTTACTAAACTTCTTTTAACCTTTTTATCAGGGCTTTATTATTACAGATGTTATAAGATTTGAATTAGCTGAATCACATATAATAAGAAATTGTTATTAATATGATTTTAGTGTGGGAACCACAAAGTCTGACAAAGTTGTATACAGTCCAATCAGTTGCCATTTAATTTGTAAATTTGTGGCTCAGTCTGATAGGAAGCATAGAAAAAAGAGCTCAAAATTTAAGCAGGTTGTCAACAGAATGACTGAAGGTAGTCAGCTGCAACATGTGGTGGCAGTCAGAGTTGAAAATCAGACCGAGGAATTACACAAACGTATGCAGAATCTCAAGAAATGACAATGTGTCTTTGGAGCCAGAAAGAAAGACGTTAAAATTGTTTACAAGAACAGAAACAAACAAACAAAAAAATACCTTTTTTTTTTTAAACAAATGGAAAATGTAAGAGTATAACTTGAACCCCAGAAAAATCAATACCTCTCAAGCATAGGGACTTGAAATCTTTCTTTCCTGAAAATGGCAAGAGGTAATAAACATGCCCCTCAGTGTACCAGGAGAACTGTCCTAGCCATGAACTGTGCGGGTGTTCTGTCCCAGGCAAAAATCTCTGGCCAAAAACCAGATAACAGTAGATTGTTGGGAAATAGTAACCTCAATTTAGGGTGATAAAATTGTTTTCAATGAGTGACATATAACTCTGGTCTGGCTTAAAAATAAATAGACGATGAAATATTACATAGTATTTTACTTTTCTGTTAGACTTGTAATGTACACATACGTGTACACATGATTTTTAAAGTGCCTTATTAAAGTTTAAGAGAATTCAAATTGTATTTCCAATTTAATATATCTAATTATAGAATCAATTTTACAATTAAGGTTATTAAATT